AGACAGTCAGTCAGTTAGTATTGAGTCTCTCATCTATGTATATATGTAAATATTCTATTTTGAGACTCGAGCTGCCTTTTGGCATGTTATGCATCAGTTGGTTGTTTTATAACCTTTCATTGCATTGAGTTGTGCTGTTGAGTTAAGTTTCCGCTGAGTTAAGAAAGCCAGGCCAAGGGTTCGCCTGAGGCCAGCAATGGTCTCCGGGTGCCGGTCCCGCCCAGGGTGTAGGCTCGGGGCGTGACAGGTTGACTACTATGAATGAAGAGCTAGCAACCCTGAAATCTAGTGACACATGGATGTTGGTACCTCGACAACCTCATATGATCATTGTTGGGTCTAGATGGGTGTTCAAAACAAAACTAAAGTCGGATGGGTCAGTGGAACCCTTTAAGGCTAGTCTCGTTGCCAAAGGTTACAATCAGCTTGCCGGTATCGACTTTGTTGACACTTTTAGTCCCGTTGTCAAAACTACAACCATTCACATTTTGTTGTCGATCGCAACCACCCTACATTGGGAGATTAACCAGCTAAACGTCAAGAATGATTTCTTACATAGTGATCTCAGTTCTAATCTATGTAGATTTTTGTATTTAACAATATTTTGAGTGTTGCATCGAAGTTGGGAAGTGCATGCGTGTAGTTTCCCTTCTCAATACATTACAAGTTACAACATGGCGAAGCTAGGATTTGTATTAAGGGCTTCCAAAATATAAAGATAGAACACACAACCTCAAACAATTTGTGTAACCCCTTAACCATTACGCTAAACCTTCAACTTGTATTACGAGGTGTTAAGACTTGTATATATATTTATTAAACCAAATTTTGACGTATATATACAATGTAATTTTCCAACGAAGAGGTGTCGTTTGACATCCCTTGCCCTAGAGCAGCTTCCCCCCAGTCTATAACATATATTGTTGCTTCATCAAAGTTATTAACATCTTCTTATGTGATGTGGTAATGTTCCACCAAATATCTTTCTTAGAAAAATATTGACTATAATTATTGGCCCACTTTGACATTCTTGTAAAGTCAAGGGGCATAAAATTTAGAGTTGTCAAAAAGGGCCGGTCCAGCCCCACCCAGTGTAAGCCTCGCGGACCAAGGAATTTGATGGGCTAGGGCGAACCGGTCCTTCATTTGGAAGAGCCTAAAAATGCACAACCCAACCTAACCCTAGAAGGGCCGAGGGATGGGGCGGGCTAACCCTTTTTTTTCAAACTTAAAATTCTATAACATCAAGAAAATGAGAAGATTTTCAAATCAAATATGACAAACAATGGTGTGTTTCAATAAAACTAGCAAAAAATCTAGTGTTATTAGCATGTATCTACGATACTAGATACACGAGATACATGTATCTGGTGTGATGCATTCTAGATACACGAGTGAGATAAGAGAGTGACGAGTGAAATTGGAGGAAGGCGAGGGCGCTGGATTTGTCTATGTATCCTAGATACATGTGAATTCACTTGAATAGAGTGTATCTAGAACAAATTAAACTAATTTTGAGTCCATGATCCTGAGAACATGTATCTGGATGTACCAAAATATAATAAGATTCGTAATATAACAACATAACATGCATTTAAGTAATTAGCTCATATACTAGTGAGATTGTAGTAAATTACCCTTAAATAAATAGTTTTGGCCTATGGGGCGACCCCGACCCGGCCCTTATCAAGCCTCGAGGGCCAAGGGATTATAAGCCCTAGTTTTAAATGGGTTTGAAAAATCCTATTTCAACCCTACCCAATAACGAGTTGGGTTGGGCCGATCCCATGTGTTAAGCCCATTTTGACGGCTCTAATAAAATTATTGTAAATTTTCTTTTCTTAAAGACCTTATTTTTTACTATTAAAGATTTTTTTTAATTGAAAAGATTAAACTTTTAGACTCTTTGACAAAAGGGTATAAAAGATTATCTTTTATTATATATTAATTATCCACACAATGAAATGGAAAAGAACATTAAATATTCATTAAATGTTAATTGAATATGGATGTGCCGGAGTAGGTGGATACCTCTCTGAGTTCCCTATATAATAAGCCAATCTGGTTCGTTTTTCTTCATCTCAGTCTTTGATTTTCAATTTTCTCCCCACTAAAAAAAGTTCTCAGTTATTTCCTTCATAAATCAGCCTCCTTTATTATCTTTTTCCTCATTCTTCTCTCACAGAAAATATTATTAGTTTCTTTTAATAAACACATTAATAAATTCTTAATGATTTTCTTGCCCCTATCTCATTTTTTCTGCAGTTAACTAGATCTAAAATGGAGGATAATAATTGGGATTTAAGCGTTGTGGTAAGAAGTTGTAATAGTAATGGACCTAACAATGTTACAGATCCTAACTTAGGCTTGGTGTCTTTTGAAAATGATGATTGGAATACTTTTGACGAAATTTTTTTTACTGACATGCCTAATTTTAATGACTTATATGAGATTTTCTCTATAGATTTTCCAGTTGCTCATCAAGAAAAAATAGATGATCAGGTCATAATCATGGACCAAAATAATAATCAAGAGACATACTCACATCCCATTCAACCAACTCAAATTAATCAACAAATCATTCTTCCTCCACCACCAACAACAATAACATGTGTGCCAACAACAACTACGACACCACAAGAATTGATTGATCAACAACAACAACTCAAAAATTTTGATGACCAGGTCATAATTATGGACCAAAATAATAATCAAGAAATGTACTTACATCCCATTCAACAAAATCAATTTAGCCAACAAATCTTTCTCCCTTCGTTACCAACAACGATAACATGTATGTCAACAACAACTGCAACACCACAAGAATTGATTGATCGACAACAACAACCTAAAAAATTAGATGATCGGGTCATAGTCATGGACCAAAATAATAACCAGGAGATGTACTTACATCCCATTCAACCAACTGAATTTGGCCAACAATTGTTTCTTCCTCCATCACCAACAACGACATCGTGTGTGGCAACAACAACTACAACATCACAAAAATCGATTGATCTACGACAACAATTTGTGATGCAGGATCAAGTTTATCCTAATTTCACTATGCCCATGAAGATTCCTCTGATCGAAACTTGTAAAAGGTAACTACTTCCTCTATTAAATTTTAAGTGTGCCTGTTTAGAGTTTTTATTTTAATACTTTAATTTTAATTTGAAATCAGAAAAAATCAGTCAACAAGAGTTATCTATGAAGTGTTGCAAGAGGAATTCATAAATGATAAATGGGCATGGCGTAAGTGTGGTCAGAAGTCAATCAAAGCTTCTCCATTTCCGAGGTTTGTTCTCTTTGTCATTTTTTCATATCGTAGAAAATGTTGTTTAGTTCTTAATTTTCATGATAAAAAGTAGTAAAAAAAATATTAATGGTAAATATAGACAAGTGTAATATTTGATCAATACTAATTATATTTTGTGTATCTGATATATCAGGAACTACTTTAAGTTTAGTACATCAAGATTCTGCGAAGCAAAGAAAATAATTGAGAAAAGCCCAAAGAATGAGAACTATTTATTGGTGTCCTATTCTGGTGAACACAACCATGATCCTCCTACATATCGTAGATCTCTTGCTTTATATAGCAATAGTTCCAAAAACAAACTTCCAAAAAGCATAAATATTGTGCCCAAAGCATTAAACTTGAATGCATCATCGGCCTCGTCCAAGCGTGCTAAGCGTTTAAAAGTTGATGCCTCTTCAATTAGTCGAACCGCAGCTACACTTGAAATTGAGAGAAATAATAAAACGATTGATGTTGTCACGGAGAACAAAGACGATGGTGAAGAGGAGGAGAACGCGTATGACAATTTTTTCATGGGGTTTGAAGAATTTCAAGAAGTTACTGCTTCCATCTTATGGGAATGAAATGAACAAGAGGAATTGTTCTTTTTTCTCCCTCTCCACCAACTCTATTATGTGCACCTTTTCTCTTCTAGTCATGTTTTTTTTTTTAGTTACAAGTGGGGTCAAAATTTTAGATTTATAGTTTGTTTTGTTTAACCATGTCATAGAAAATGGTGCTTCTCTAGATAGCTAGATATGAATCATTTCCAGTTTTGTTATTTTTGTTGTTTTTTAATATGAAAATTTGATCCCTCTTGGAAGTTGTTGGTTTTATTTTCTCAAATAGTTCTTTCTTTAAGAAAAGTCACCGGTCTCAAAATCTCAGTTTATACATTAAATTGTACGAAGTATTAGAATATCACAATTCAATTTCAGAAGCTATATATATGAGTGTTATTGATGCATGCATTAACCATTTCGAAGGAATTTTCACACTAAAAAATCAATTGTATGTTCTTGTGGATTATTATTAATTTAAAAGATAGAATAAGTAATTTGTTTTAGTACTCTGTTAAATTATTTTTTGATGGTATAAATTTCTTCTCTATATCATCAATGGTTTATAAATATCTCAACAACCATTTTGATTTTCTTATTTCTGGTTCTTTTTCTTTTGCTAAAGGACACTTTTATAGTCATATTATCTTTGAGCAAGAATGTCACACCCCAAATCCGGATGTGATGGCACGTATCCATTTCCCACCGGACACGTCAGCCTAACCCAACCACAACGATAGAGAAGTAGAAATACGAGAATAAAAGATAATAAATAAGCGGAAGACTTTAATTAAGACTCAACACTACCCAGAATTGGTTGTCACATGTACAAACCTCTAAATACAGAATTCGAATAAAAATATACAAGTCTCAGAGTATAGTTCTCGAATAGAACAAAACTGAAAGTAAAGATAACTCAAGGGCACGTCTGGAATGAACCGCTACCTCTCGAGTATGTCCCAAAGCTCAATCTGCTAAAGAAAATACTAAGCCGAATCTGAGAGAGCTGTCAACCTACACAATTGTGTAGAAGCAAGGGTGAGTACCGAAAACCACAGGTACTCGCAAGTAACTCTAAACTAAGCAAAACTAGCAGCTACAAACAACTCCTTTCAATCCCAACCGAACCACCGAAACTTCATTCTAACAGCGAACCAACAACCTATACTACACAATTCATAATCAACATATATATCCAACAGTGTCTCAAAATCAACCTCATATCCTCATATAAGAGCAAATAGATCATATATCACATGAAGAGGGGCAAATAGGTAAAATCCACACACCACAGACAAAGATGAAGTGAAATGCGATGCAAATGCAATAATGATGTCATGTAGTCGTGATGCATGTCTGTCCTACGATACACATCTGTTGACGTAATCAGTCCGCGCTGAATACTCAAATCAGAACCCATGGGGGCCACACATGGACCATGTATCACCGCCGGAACCAGATCCCATCGGCATCCAAATCGCTAGCCGGAGCTAGTCTCAACTGTGTCTCATATCCATCCATCCTCATATCAGTGTCTCAGAACTCATGCAACAGATAGTTCACACATGGGATGAATAATGAATATGCACATGTCATCAATCACAATCATATCACGATCACATCATAGTATTACACATCATCTGTCTCAATCACAACCATATCACGACCACATCATAGTATTACACATCATCTGTCTCAATCACAACCATATCACGACCACATCATAGTATTACACATCATCTGTCTCAATCACAACCATATCACGACCACATCATAGTATTACACATCATCTGTCTCAATCACAACCATATCACGACCACATCATAGTATTACACATCATCTGTCTCAATCACAACCATATCACGACCACATCATAGTATTACACATCATCTGTCTCAACATCAATGTCTGTATCAATCATAGCCTACTCATGCTCTTCTATCCCCTCAATATGAGTTATCACATGACTTATTCAACAAATTCAAGTCACATATAACACATTTAGCTCGTTTTATTCCCCATCTTTCATTTACAACAATTTCAATCAACAAATAAAACCCATCCTCAATCCCCATTACTCCCCAACACAATTAGGAAAGTAGTCATGCGTAGTCTAAGAGTTTTACAAAGTTTGGAAGCCACTTGCCTTAAAACGAACTCCAAAAGTTACTTGACTTGAGCCTTTCCTTTCCGAGTAGAATCCGGATCACGATAATCTA